CTGCAGCTCTAAATGGGGTTCCTTAGCATTATTAATCTAATTGTTTTGGTTTTACAGCCTGTGCCGTTTTGGTTCAGTCTAACTGCTTTCATGAAACTTGTTTTTAGCTGTACAGTAGCAGGCAGCTGTTTAAGGGAAAAGCCTCTAAAAACCACCTGTACATTACTTGCCCAGCACCAAAACCCAGACAAAGCTAACGACTAGCTAGTGAACATAATGAAGCACTTAGCAGCTAAAGAGTCAAATATTTTCCCCAGGACAATAAATCAAAGTTATAGAGATAGTGAGTGGACTTAGACTTGTTGGGTGGACACAAACACAGACCTATATGTTAATATTGCTCTGCTGAATGTGTTTACATTATGAAAACAACACTGTATGTCAGTGTTGTGTTTACAAGTTGTTGTGCTGTCCTTCAATAAACGAATGCAGTTTTAAATTTAAGGAGGTATCCAGATGTTTTCTATTTGGCTCTACATGCAGCCGTTTGATATTCAGTAAGGTTCCTGTAATATTTTGTAGTTGATATAATAAATTGAAATTTCAGTTTGCATGGGATGAATTACCCAGTCAGGGCACGGGGCCCTTTTCCCTGTCCTGATTTATAATTACCAGAGGGCAAAATAAAAAGGTGGAACTGATTTAATGAAAAATAAAACTCTCTTGTCTATCCAACAAACCCTGCTACCTTTTGCATTTTAATGTAAAAACACATGGTGGGTGCAGCTGCAAAGATCTCTGAATGGGGAATGTGTGTTCAGGCCATAGATGAGCTTTAAGAGCTAGATCCAAGCGTCAAGTGACATCATAGCTGATCAACAATTATTAGGGTCATTTTGTGCTGTAGAGCCATTAAAATCTCACCTCCTCCCCATTAACCCTGTCTGTTTCTGCCAGGGAGACTCTGGTGGTCCCTTGGTTTGTCAGGAGCAATCAGGTCGCTGGTTCCTAGCCGGCGTGGTGAGCTGGGGCAAAGGTTGTGGGCGTCCAGACTACTACGGCGTCTACACTCGCATCACCAGGTTCACCAACTGGATCAAGCATGTCATCAGCAGCCCCTGAGTCACCGAAGACTTTCATCATACAGTACATAACACCAACAGCCTCATCACCCAAGGCTGGGTGAATTAAAACATTTTTCACACAAGGATAAAAAAGCTCTGGTAGAAGATTTGAGATTGTGTTTCAGCTAAGCAGCACAGTGGTGAAATGTGAAAGTCTTTATGATAATGATATGCACATGCTACCTTACGGAAGTGATATGATAAAATAAACACTTTGTGTGTGCAATAAAAACTAGGTTTGAGGTACTTTGTAAAAGTTCATGCTATTTCATGTTGATCATTTACTCTCGTACAGACTGAATATTTCAAAGACAGGGAACTTAAAGCATTTTTCCTATAAGAAATCTCCTTTCAGCTTTATAGTCAAGCTTGCAATGCACTGTGCTTGTTGCATGTTTCACTGGTTGTGAATATGAAATAAAAGATGAGCGTGCAGCCACGTTATCAGCTGTCTGTGGCTGTATTCATAGCCACAGTGGTGATTTGGGCTCAATTCTAATGTCAGCATGCTATATATTCAAAATAGCAAATGCTGATTTTTCACAGGTGTTATTTGTTTACCACACTCACCTTGAGTGTGGTAAACAAGTTGATAGATCACCAGCATGCAATGTGGGAACCATGAATGTCTGTTCAACATTTCATGGTAATTCATCCAGTAGCTGTGGAGAGATTTCAGTTTGGACCAGTGTCACAGCATTTCTGAAAATTACCCTATTTACACACTGCATCCGTGTCTGACCGACATCTCCCTCTAGTGGAAAGACATGCACCTGCAGTCTCTGCCATCTGATTTTATAAAATACTGTTTTCAGGTCTAACACTTAATGATGTCTCTCACAAGCCACTTTTCAGAGTAAGCAGTTATTTTCAAGCTCTATAAATCACTGCATCCAAGAAGAAGCAATTTTTTGGCTGATTTTATGATCAATAACAGTATTCTCAGAGGCAATGGGGGCAGGTGCCAGAGCTTGGCATCCCTCCCCGTGACTGTCACTGTGATTCATAAACAAAACTGGAATGAAGAGGGTTTGTTCTTGGAAGTCACATTAGATTGTAGTGCATGTCAGGCAGAAAATGATATATCCACCCATCCATCCCGGTATTCCTCTTTCTTCACACATCTCTTCGATGTATGATCATCTGTTTTATTCTGGAAATGAGTCCTAGTCCTCAGGGGAATGTTTAAATGTGTATTCTACCCTCTTTGGTGTAATTGGTATTTTATTAGGCATTAAATCATAATGACAGTTCTGCACTGTGAAGCATAACTGCAGTGCTCACACTGGCTTTTCTGTGGGGCATGTTTTAAATGACATTGTGACATATTGATTCTAAGGCAGCAGATATGTTTGTTAAAAATTCAAAGCGCTCACTGTTACAGTATCTGTGCAGTGCTATTTGTAAATGGCAACACAATTCTGGGTCTTGAAATTCAAGTACTCAATCTCTGCCTTGTGACCACAATCATGTGGCATCACTATACACAAATAGTGTGCATTAATGGACATACAAATCAACACCAGAGGATAAACAATTTAGATCATCATCGACTGAGGTGGGACTTAAACCCACAATCCCCAGCTCCGGAGGCTGATGCCTTATCCATTAGGCCACTGAGCCACCACGTACACAAGCTTGAATGAAACACAAACTGTTACTTGTTGATGTCTGCAAATATACTTTTAGTTGGTTTTCATCAGTTGTTGCTGCTTTGTTTTAGAGATGCCAAGTGTACCAAACTGGGCCACTGAGCTGTAGTTGTAGAAAAGCAAAAAACAAACAAACAAACCAGTCTGTGTTTCTCAGCTTCCATATCTCCAGAGATCTTAAAACTAAGATTCTAGTGTCTGTTTATTTGCTATAAAAATATTATGCCTTTCTAAAAATATGTGGTTTATCAAGTATATCAGATCATAATTGTTATTTCCTTGGGAGGTAAAAGGAAACAGAGCAGTATCTTGGTTTGGCTTCCTGTATAATGCCCCACTACCACTGAGCCTCCAAGGGGTTGAGGGTTTTCGAGTCACTGGTCAATAGCCTGTAACAGTATGGAGCTATACAGACAGTGAGTGAGTTCAGGAGGTGGCATGCTGAACTTCCTCCTCCTTAGTCAGTAAATCATTATATTCAAACAATTCAGCTGTCTATCTATATATACTGTAGACTGAGCAAACGATCGATCAGCATAATGTATCAACAAACAATGATGGCCAAAACTGTGCAGAGGAGACAGCCAGAAGGAAAAATGCCAGCAGATTACTGATTTAATTAAGGACACTGGCCATCTTGATGCTTTTTGTTTGGTTTTGTCTCTAAAACCATTTAGGAAGACAAATGGAGCTGATTCCAGCCAACAGAGAAACATATTGTGTGTCTTGTCTTTACTCAAATCTTGTTAGACGGTGACCACAATATCTACATTCGATTAGAATGAGCATGCAACAGTGGACCATGAGCAATGGAAAATATATTTTTAGGAATCTAGAGCCCATCCAGAGCCATATTTCCAGGAAGTCTGTATATGCTTGAATGAGACAAACTAAAGAAGAACAAACTCATATACTAGAGGGATCTTGGCAGTTCATTTTATTTCACAGTTGGATACTATTACAGGCACAAATCAACCAGCAATAATCAAATCTAATCTAATCACCATGGATTGTTTCTAACATTTTTATTACTGTGGAATACTTGGAAGCCTTGAATGGCTGGAATCTGCTGCTCTTGTGTTTTCAAACTGGCAAAACTGGTGATTGTGCAAAAAAGAAAAGTACATCAGTTGGGAAAGAAGAGAGGTGAATGGCAACTGAAGCTGAATGACTGGCTGACTTTTCCTTGCTAAAGACCAAGATGACTACACAGCTGTCTTTCTGCAGCCATGCAGCTGTTTGGGAAATGAATCAACCTGAAGCGACTTAGAAGATGTTGGCTGAATGCATTGTACTGAATAAGTCCTGTGTTACCATGATTATCCAAGTAAATTATGAAAAAACCTGACCCATCTATCACTAAGCACCAGCTTCATGTGACCCAGGTGGGACTTCAACCCACAATTCCCAGCTTCAGAGGCTGATGCCTCAACAGTGGCAATACAGACAAAGGGATGACCAGGTAGAACCCATAATAGATTACACTGCCATTTGATTTTGGGTCTGATAACTCACTCATTATTCCTGTCATATAGGGGCTGGGCAAAAGCACCTACATTAAGTGAAACACTAAGAAGTGCTCTGTACAAGACCAGGTAGTGGAAGGGGGTGGTATACTCCATCAGTATTGCTTGTTAGATGGCCAAACATCTTTGGAGACCCCGACTTTCCCAACATCAGAATAAAGAGAGCGGCATTACAGAAATTACAATTTCTGTATGTCAGCTGGGAATTTTGCAATGAGAACAAACCTCCCATAATGAATCTTCTTCCTAAGAAATGATCCTGGTCAAGATTCAAGTATTTAGGTCAAGCATGACAACACCCTAAGACAGCACTGAAGTACTCAGCTTCTCTGGCCTCAACAAAATAAGTTTCATTTATTGCACAACTGAACAACCACACTGGACTCTGACCAGCTGGTCAAAGTCCACTTAGTTTCTATGGGGACAATTCAAAACTGACATTTTTATAACCTATTTCCCACAAAATATTCACCCATGCTCTGTGAATAAACAGTGTGTTCACCTTGACTGAATCGACGTGCACGTGTAGGCTTTTATGTTTGATGACCTTAGAAAGCCACCACTAAAGGCTAATGTGGCATCTTCAAAATAGGGTCAAATAAAATACATTCTATTCAGTCTTTAAAATAATATTGTGTAGCCAAAACTTGTGTGAGGGTCTGTTTGTTTGTGCGTGAGGTAATGACTTTGTCTGCAGAAACATGAAATCCACTTAATCTCCATCCCATACTTTATTTCCTGTCCTCGTGGCTGCCATCTTAAAATAGCTTCACTGAACTCCCAGAACCATGAACACTGGCCTTGAAGTATCATATACAATGTCCTTGCACACAATAGGATGTACTAACCAATTTTACACAGTTATTGATCAGTATGGATGCAGACTAAGATGAAGCTGATGAGGCTGTAATTAAGACGAGTCACTAAAGCTATTAGAAGTTATTATCTGTGGACAAATGTGTATAACCACCCAATAATTGTGAACATATGACACTGCTGACTAGCTGACCAGCTCACATTGACTCATGGGGTGGAAAAAAAGGCTGCTCACACATTTAACTTTCCAAAACTGACACTGTGAAACCTCAGTGGTGGAACATTACTCTGCCTTATTAAGTTTATTTTTATCAGTATAGCCAGGGATACTCACATATTTCTGTTTGAATGTCAAAGCTAAACACAAAAAACTGCTGTATACAAGCAGTTTGGTTCAGTTAATGGAACAAAAACAACGTAATGGGTCAAATCTGACAGCAGTGAAGAGATAAACACACAACATGCAGCACCTGGACAGCGATCATTTGGCCTCAGTAGTGAGATGCATTCTGTCTCAAGCATTAGAAAATCTATAAGACAAAGTGCAAACAGTTGTGGTGGCTATTGTAATGGCATACTAAAAAAAAAACTCAGCCAAAGCTTTTTTATGTTTAAAACCCATCTTTTCTGGGTTATTTTCTTTGTACCTCATCCTCTCCATCTCTCCATTACTCCCCTGGGCTCCTTTTCCTCTTCTTCTTTGCAGTAATGGGTTAAACAGCTGAAGGCTGTGTGTGTTTTCATTGTGGTTGAGATTTATCTTGGGACTAGTGGTTATACTGGAAGAGGAGAAGGATGTGGGGGAGGGTGTTGAGAATATGCAGAAGTCCAGCAGAAACCATGAAGAGTGAAGGAAGCACAATCATTGCAGACAGACTGATAGATAAGGAACAAGGCAGAGCTCTGAGGCACACATTTTCTGCAGGCTACAGTACAGTATGTCCATGCTAATGAAGAGCTGCTCTTTTTACTAACCTCCAACAAGACTTTATAACTCAGTATAA